TTTCGAACACCCAATAAGCCCAAACCAAAGAATAGTACCAAGAAATCTAGTAAGAAATCACCAGCGAAGGCCAATAAAGAACCTGTTGCCGATGTAGATAAGAGTATGCTGACAGCAGATAGAATCAGCAATGCGCTGAGGTCTCCTGCATCTAGTCAAGGAAGCACCGCTCTAGAAAGCGAGGGTGACAGTATACCCTTATTCAGCCCCATCAGGAGTCCAGGGCTGGTATCTCCAACGCGATCCCCCACGCCCTCCCCGGACTGCGAAACTCTCAACCCGGTGATAAGGAAACTCTTCACGCCCCCAGTGTCTCCGCAGCATTCCCCAGCCAGTTCGCCAAAAGTTTCTCCAAGTAAACTCAAGTTATCCCCCCAAATCAATAATAACGTACATAGATTTAATAGAATAAATAAAGTTCTGTCCTCACAGGAAGACGCATTCGATGCCCTGTCACAAAGCACCTTGCAGAACAGCCAGAGTCCAATGAAAAGTCCAGAAAAGGGGAAGCTGCTGGTCAGAACACCGAGAAAGATCAACCAGAGCATCAGAAGTTCAGGGCTGTTGCAGAATTCGTCTCAGTGTAGTTTAAACGTCATAACCCCAAGGAATAAGAAACACCACTCTCCCTCAACCAGTAATGAAAACTCTCCAGCGAAAGAGAGCCCAGGGACATCCAGCCAGGCGATGGAAACCGAGACACAGGAGAAGACTCTAGCTTTTGATCCAGCAATATACAGGGATAGAAAAGGCTACTATCTAGACAATTTTACGAGAATTTTAGACACGGTTACGTCACAGCCCCAAGACCTTCAGCTTTTGAATTGTGAAGACTTATCAGTTATAGAGACTTTCCGTAACTTGTCACTGCCAGCACAGAAACTGTATGTTCGACTGTTCCAAAGGAAAATCAAGTGGAATAAAGCCTCCAAGATTGAATATAAAGATATTTGTGATGCAGAAGATACAATACTTTATATAAAGGAGCTCACATATGCAAATTTCCTATTGAATGGTATGTATACATTTGTGGCCTTCTTGTTCTGAATTATAAGTAGATGTTAGGATTTACTATTGAATTAGTTGTTCTTATGCTCTATGTAACCACACAATATTTTCAAATGAACTTTAATGAGATTGATGGTAATAAATGCAAACAAGACTGTATTTGATCTAGAGAAATTTTTACTTTGGTATCTGTTCTTAGGTTCATGACATTTTGGTGATAAACAGATCCTACATATTTTTATAATAATGTAATATATAATATGCATATACATGACATTGTGTTGTATCTTGACAGAGACAGAAATGACTGGACTTGAGGAAGTGTTGGCCATACTCTCTAGCGAAGAATTGCATGGGCTGTGTAAGCAAATGAAGGTAAAACTTTTTTGCATGTAACATTATACCATGCAGAATGTAGTAAAAAGACTTAAAAGCTGAAATATTTTTAGGTCTTGTGACACAGTATAATTATTTTTTCTCCACTTTGATTTATTATGATTTTTTCTTTTTCTTTTTTTTCCCTTTCTTTCTTTCTTCCTTCCAGTTCTTCATATTATTATATACAGGTTACTTGTATTTACGTGTTCATGATGATTATTTTTAATAGTTATTATTGCTTGCACAGCTTAAGTATTTGTTTAAATAGATTTTTTCAAGTCACTTGGAAAGATTTCTTCTTGGTAATCTTCAGATTCGTACAAATGGGAAGAAGGAGGAGTTAGTTTCCACTCTTATAAAGTTCACCAAGCAACAAAAAAGCATATTCAGTGCTTTTAAGAAGACAGCAAACGAAGACCCTCTTGTCTTGAAAAGGTAAACAGAGAAAGAGACTGAGAATGAATGATGCCTATTTGTGGCTTACAGTAGCATTTATTATGTAAAGCCAGGCCCTAGTCAGAGATGATCACCCTTTTGGTCTGTCCTTGGCACTCACCCCGAGGAACTAGGAAGCCAGACTTAGACTATTCTTTGCTCAGAACCTGCCAGTTATTTCTGAGAAGTGATTGTCATATTCTTGGACTGTCTTGGAAATGTATTAGATATTACTCTGCTATTACAACATCTTGACAATCCATCCCGAAGTTTGTCTAGGTGTCCCTAGTCGGGTAGATAGGCTGTAATGTTCCCAGAACAGGAGGCTGGGCAGTCAGAGGTGGCTCACAGACCAAGGCTGCATTTGAGTAAGTAGCCTGAGCTTGGGAAGTTGGTTTACCCGTTGGCTTTGTAGGGAGATTGAGAAGCCAAGGAAAGTACCACAGGATTAAAGAGTTTCTCTGTTATTATTTTGATATTGTTATTGTTATTATTATTGTTCCTATCCCTGTCTACCTTCAGGGCCAAAGCTATCCTGGGCCATTGCTGTTTGGTGAACAAGGAGGTGCGGAGGGTGTTCATGAGAGTCCTCATGCTCTATGGCCTTCCGCGGTACGATGAGGAGGAGGAAGGAGGACAACAGTCCCAGCTCACGACGCTCCTGATGGTGAACATGGGCAAGATGGAGTTCCCAGAGTTCGAGGTTATTAGGAACCATTCCATCTTCAGGACACGGGAGGACCTTCTCAGGTGGGGAATGGAGCTCTGGGGTCTTGAAAGAGGTCTTTTTAACATTGTTGTTAGATTTTGGTGTGAGAGAGAGAGAGAGAGAGAGAGAGAGAGAGAGAGAGAGAGAGAGAGAGAGAGAGAGAGAGAGAGAGAGAGAGAGAGAGAGAGAGAGAGAGAGAGACAGAGAGAGAGAGAGAGAGAGAGAGAGAGAGAGAGAGAGAGAGAGAGAGAGAGAGAGAGAGAGAAAGTGTTTTTTTCTTTCTTTCTTTCTTTCTTTTCTTTTTTCTTATCTCCTCTCATCTCACTTATAATGTGCCATATTTTAAAAGATATATATTTCTAGTTGATGCATGTGATTTATTTTGTGTAAAAGTTATTCATTTATTTATCTCTCATTTTCACTTTTCAGATATGAAACTTGCAATCAGATTCTCATTGATGTACAAGAGTGTATGGAGGCACAGAAGTGGGAAGAAGCCTTGCAACATTGCCAGCTTGCAGTAACAACCTATCAGGATCTTATTTCTGATGAGGAGTTGTTGTATGTAGTATAGTGTAGTAGACCTATGTAGTTATATGTGTCTCTTTTGTTACTGATTGTTAGTTACTTCAAAGAATTATGTATTAGCAGGTAATAACGTTTTAGCATTCTTGTCTAAAAGCTTATTAGAGTGAGGTTTTTGGCATAGTTTAGCTTTCAGTAAAGTTCAACAGTTGAGAACTTTGTATGAACTGGAGTGTACTACTTTGCTTCTTTGGTATATGTACCTTATGAAGACTAATTTTGAATTGTAGTCTGTACTGTAATGTGTTTAAGGTTGTTTTCCTCCATGTTATATTAAAAAGAATATTCCCCTCATCAGAAATCACGAGAAGTCGCTGCCAAGCTTCTTACGTCGCTTTACGTCTGTGTCGGTCTTGATTTACATCTTGACTTGTTCTGTGGAGTGCCACCAGAGGCTGAAGAGTTACCAAAAGGCAGTGGATCAACTACAGGATTTGCTGAAACAGAAGACACATTTACAGGACTACAGAGGAAGATGGTTTGACAGATTGGCACTCAATTTGGCCACACATTTGAAGAAGCCGGCCCAGGTGAGGTTATCTATAAAATAGCAACAAGTAGAAGAAAGCTTTAGTTCATAAATTATGTTCAAAGTATTGTTTTTTAAAATCATATAAGAAAGGATATTGAGTTTATGACATTTCTTTTTTAATTGGCTATTTATTTGATAGGCTGTAGATGCCATTCAACAAGCTTTAAAGGACCCTGAGGTGCGGAAAGGCCATCGCCTTTCACTAAGCATGAGAGCAGAGAAAATGGCAGCTTCTGCCCGGCATAAATCTCTGGCGGCAACCATTGCTGAAATGCCTCTTATGCACCCAAGAGAAGCACCGAAGGTTATTATAGAGGGCAGGAGTCTCCCAGGGTAAGATGCTTCAAGACTGTAGAAGTTCCTTGTATTTGAAGGATATTTGTACATGTATTTATTTCCTTTCTTTTGTCCGTTTCTTTTCTTCCTTTAATGATATATTATAAACATTTTTATCAACAGGGACATTCCTGGATATAAGAGGGCTTTCATTCGCCAAGATTCAGCTCGACATGCAGGAGAAGGGGAGGTCACAGTGTGTTCTGTTGAGGAGTTGGTCTTGGGTCATTATAAAGACCAGGGTTACACAGAGGGTAATTTTTTTTCCTTGTACTTTTAGCGAGACTTTATTTTATTGTATAGCTTAATAGATGATATAGTTTATGAATGTATGAACTTTGATTTAGATGTGTCAGTCAGCTTTTGTAAGATGGAGATATTACAGTTTAATCACAAGCATAAAAACTTTCCAGGTTTGCACCGAGAAGGTACGACAGTAAACTCTCTCTTTGGCCTGTATTTCTGGGATGCCCTATACTCACCAGTTTCAGATGTCTTCCGGTCTCCACACCAGGCTTCGCCCTTAGACCTGGATGACCCGAACTTTTATGCAGCCAGGAAAGAGTGGATTGACCAGAGGCAAGTTTTTTGGTCTCTTCTTTTTTCTTTATGCTGTTGGCTGCTTTATTCATGAATAGAAATTGAAGTTATGTGAACTGTACTTGTCTTAGATCTTTTCTGCAGCAGATTTGGGATATTTATTTCTTTAAAATTACATCTTCATTAGTATTGGTTTGTAAAGAGTGCATAGATACATGAGAAAACTAAAGTACATGTTTGATCCACAGACTCAATGATATGCGTCATTGGCCAGAGGAAAGGGCAGCCAGTGAGCTGGAGCAAATATGGACTCAGCACCTAGGGAAAGTGTCCCTTGTGGCGTGGGACCTTTTTCGTAACATAGATCATGCCAAGGTAAAGAGTACTTGAGGCTCAGTTAATTATCCATTACATAAATGTTTTTCTACATATTGGGTATTGCCTTCTGAGATAATGGTATTTTTATCATGAAGAATTATAATACTCTTCATGCTGTGATTAGATGCAAGCGGGTTAATTTCCACTATATGCAACGGACTCCCTGGCCAAAAGGTTAGATGGTTATCAGAAGTCATCGGAATGGATGACACAGAAATTTCTGGCACCATCATTGTAGGGTTAAGGAAATTATAATTTATTTCATATTAGTAATACAATTTCACAGCTATGACCTTCATAAGTATAAACAGAGCAATGCAGCAGAAGGATAGTTCTTAAAATGTGTTTAAAATCACACGAATATTGAGCTGTTTCAAAAAATGTAATCAATCCATCATGATTCGAAGCACCTCATTTGAGTCTTGAGAAGTAATTCACAGACAAGGCATTAGTAGTGGAAAAGAGCTGTACATTAAAAGAATAATTTATTTGGAAAATGAAGGTAGATGAAATAACAGATTAATCAGTGTTTTTCAGTCCTGTTTTATTACTAGGAAATAATTTATTTCTCCTTTCAGAGTTTGGTGGCGAGTATGGGTACAAGTGTTTTGGCTGCAATATGCGAGCGCCTTGCTAAGGATCACAGATTTACACGCAGTGGTTTCCCAGATCTTGTGGTTTGGGACCCTCTTAACAAAGTAACTATCATTATTGTTGAAGGTTTATAAAACTTGTGTTTCTGATTTTTTTTTTTTTTTTTTTTCTATTTTCCCTTATACTGGAACAGATTATATAGATAAATGAAAGCCTTTCCATATGCTATAATTATGTAATCAGAAAGTTTAACAGCTGTCTGCCTCTGCCCTCAGAAATGCCGAATCATTGAAGTGAAAGGACCAAATGATCGACTGTCAACTAAACAGATCCTCTGGCTGGAATACTTGCTTGATAATGGTGCAATTGCTGAAGTCTGTCACGTTGAAGGTAAAGGATGATTGTGTCAGCACTGTGATGTTTTTCTAGTTTTGTCTCTCTCTCTCTTTTTTTTCTTTTTTTTTATTGTTGTTGTTGTTGTTGTTATGCCTTTGCTCAAGAAAAATGTTTTATTTGTTAAAGGTCTATCAGAGTGATTGGCAATGGATATACGTACTCCCTACTTTGTTGTTGTTGTTGCTCACATATAGCTCCACAGTTGCTCAGCCAATAAGGAGTTAATAAGGAGGCCCTATTTGACCTTACCTGATTTCCCCATTCATTTAGATTTCAGGTGAAAAAGAATCTAAAGGTATTGATATTGATACTGTTATTATTGTTGATATTATGATAATTGTTATGTTATTAAAATTCTAATAGCAATAGAAAAAAAAATCTTCCTGAAATTCCAAGGAAATAGGTGAGATAAGTAGGAATATTAATTGACTCCTCAGTGATTAAGAACTTGTGGAACCATTTAGGAGTAAACAAAATAAATTAACTAAAATCACTACAGGCATGGCATGTATATCCTGCCATCCTGCCATAATGCCGCTAAGCACTCCAGATTTGTTTTAAGAAATTTCTTCCTCACTGAAACAGCCATTGGAGCCAAGAAGATGAAGAAGGCCTCTCCTCGGAAGATCTCGCCCAAGAAAGCCTCACCCAAGAAAGCCTCGCCCAAGAAAGCCTCTCCCAAGAAAGTCTCTCCCAAGGAATCGCCTCCAAAGTCGAGGAAAGGCGGGAAAAGGTCGTGTTGTGATAATGGGGAGGAGGGAGGAAGCGAAGAGAACAAAACCCAGGCAAAGAGGAGGAGGAAGGCACCCCAGAGCGAGCCGGCAAAGAGGGGGAGGAAAGGGAAACTGCAAGCGAAGGCTGATGATTCCGATGATTTTGAAGAGCCTGCTGTGAAGATTAGGACAGTGAAATCTTAATATTTTTTTGTTTTGTTTTGTTTTACTATTATTATTATTATGATTATCATCATTATTATTATTGTTGTTATTGCTATTGTTATTATTATCATTATATTTTTTATTATTTTTATTATTAATGTGTGTATGTTTAGATATTGGAGTATGTATGAATGTATGAATATGAGCACATGTACAAATATCCTTTTATTATTATTATTATTATTATTATTATTATGTATTTTACTCTTATCTTATTTATTTATTTTTTATTAGTATGATTTTTATTATTACACATTTTATTATTATCATTATTGTTTTATTATTAATATTAATCTATTAATATTATTGATTTATTATTATTATTATTATTATTATTATTGTTATTGTTATTATTATTATGATTATTATTATTTTTATTATTTGTCAGTGAGTGCACTTGTTTCTATGCATGCGCGTGTATGTGTGTATGTGTTTCTGTGCGTGCATGTGTGCATGCATATGCATATACTAGTGAAAGAGGGAGTACCAAATAAAGTAGCCGATTCCAATATTGTGATAAATTTACATTTATTTTATAAAATATTTTAGAAAATTCTGTTATTACATTACTGTAAAGTAGCATAGTTTTATTTCTTACGTTTAACTGAAGAATTTCTTATTACAAATATAATTTTAAAATTTATTATTTTTTTTAAAGATTAATTATATCTCTCTTAGGACATTTAAAATGCACATAGGGATGCTGTGGCTGTTCATAATACAGCACACAATACTTTTTTTGAGGTTCCCAGGGGATGGGGAAAGTACATCTAGTTGCATGAGGTACATTTCTACCAGTTTGTTTTAACAGGAGATGAGTTATTATGCATAAGAATAGAAAAATTTACATAAGGAATTACATATTTTTATAGAATAGATTCTTAAATTCTGTACCTGATGAGGTTTGTGTTAATTTTATGTTACCAATAATAGTTTTCATTTATGTGTAATATTTCTTAATTTCCTGAACATTTAAAATTCATATTTTAGAGATTGTCTTGTGGATCTGATGAGGTCACATATTTTCCATTCATGTTTTGTGTATTGATTTTATTTGTAACCTTAATAGTTGTATATTACAAGCTCCATCAGTTAAGTTTGTTATGAACAAATTCTCAGTATTATTAATTTTCCGAGTGTTATTTAAAAATTCATGTATACTTGGATACCTTAAAATTGTTACTCTGGTTGTGTGCCTTTTCTTTTTTATTCACCTCTGAATAACAATTGTTTTCATGAGTAATTAAGGTTTTTAGAGGAAATTTAGAAATAAAGATAGGGAAGTGGAAAAAAAAGTCTTAGTGGAAAGGAAAAAAGATATTCCATACTAACATAATGGATAAAATAACATAATTACTTGCTTAACCCAATCCGGACAGGTCGGGTGCACTGACGTCATTACAAACTCCTTAGTCTGTGGGTGTGGGTTTTGGTACGTTTTACTTCTAATTATTACATATTGTAAAGTGAACTTGATGAAATATGTTTGCCAAAAGCCCTGAGAAAAATCACTAGAGGTCTGTTTTTCTTTGTTGTAAAATTCTTCAGGTTTGTCATGAGTGGGATGTCTCCCCTTTACATATTTAATTTATTTTAGGGAGAATAATCTCTTAAGCTTGGGTCAAAGTAGTATAAATATTACTTACACCATCAATCCAGTTTTCACAATGGATATTCAAGTTAAGAGCTTTTTCTCTTTTTTTTTTTTTTTTTTTTTTTTCCCCCCCCAACTACTTCAACAATTGGAGTACAAAGAAAATATGTGGTCACCAATAGTACTTTATTATTTTCACATAAGCTGTACATAAGATTTCCTATATTTCAAATATCACTATGAAACCTTTTATAATTAATATATCTTGGTTTCATGGGAGCTATGACAAGAGATCTTAATATCTGCAATAAGCGAAATTAGTTGCCGCTCAATATATGCCAAATAAAATATCAAAATAATTTTACACCTTGCAAATGAAAATTGTGTGGTAGGGATTTCAATGTCCTACAATATGTATATATTAGATCACAAACTTTACCCTTTCGCATGACAATTAAATTACACCTTCTATCGGTTATATTCAGATACTGATTGTTAATACCGTTATGCCAAAGGAGATACTAATTTACACATGGAAGGCCAGAAACTAAACTTAACAACATTTATAAATAGTTTTAATAATATTTTGCAATCACTTTTCAAAGCCTAAGGGTTATTTAAGCTGCGCTCCATTTTATCTTAGAGGGGAAGACGCTAATGAGGTTAGGGATGAGAACGAGGAGTCGTAGTGCCTAGTGGACTGGTCGTCGTCTGCTTGGTTGTTCTTCAGCTCTCCCATCGTGTGCACCAACCGAGCCCATTCATCTGCACGCGGAAGTGCAAGTTGCTGGAAGGTAAAGGGAAAAGGTGGTGTTAAAAGAATAAATAAATAATTAAAACCCATTTGCATATTACCACACTTCTAAATCTTGTCAGAACAGTTTGGAGATTATTTAGCAATTTATTTATATAACAACACTGATACTAAAAATTTGTAGAGCACAGTATGACTTACTTCGCCTACATCGTAGATCCAGATTTTACCCATATCGTCACCAACTGTGATCTGTTGACCAGAGTTAGTCCAGGACACTCTATTCAGTGCTGGGTTACCATCTACATATGTACTTGCTGTAGGAACCTGGAAAAATATTTTGCAATCAGCATTTTCACTTACACTTTACTACTTCTGTGCAGAAATAAACTACACATACAGCTCATAATTCAAACACCTACATTTCATTGATCCTATCAAGAAAGCAAGAAAGGAAAAAAAGAAAAGAACAGAAAAGAAAAGAAGAAGGGGAAGAAGAAGAAGAAGAAGAAGAAGAAGAAGAAGAAGAAGAAGAAGAAGAAGAAGAAGAAGAAGAAGAAGAAGAAGAAGAAGAAGAAGAAGAAGAAGAAAAAAAAAAAAAAAAAAATATATATATATATATATATATATATATATATATATATAAACACTTCTTTTTAAAGGATCTATCCCTCATAGATGGCTGTACCTCTGTGTCCTGGTTTAGGTTCCAGAGGTCAATCCTTCCTGAGCCATCCACGGCCGTGAAGAGAGCAGGGTGGATGGGCGACCAAGCCACATCATAGACATAGTCGCCGTTGTCCTCAAATGAGTATAGAGGCTTCGTTTCCTGTTAAAATACAAAATAAATCTTATCTTACAGTTTAATCCAGAGTCAAATACAAAAACATGGAAAGAAAACTGAACTAAAGCAAACAATACTTCCTATCTGTGAATGAAGGCACTCTTGAACAAATTAAAACGTGTAATATAATGCATTATAAAATTGCTTGTGAGAAGTCTGTGCTTTGTGAATGCTTGCCTTGAAGAGTACTAAATGCTTTAAATATTATGAAATAACTGAGGGGGGGCAGGGGGGGGAGCAAATCAAAATATTCAACCTAACAACTTTTAAAAAGAGTGGAAATTATGGTTGGTGGGACAAATGCTTACAGTGCTCTTGATGATGAAAATTACCCGAAACTCAACATGAAAAAGGTTCCAATTATCCAAATTAGCCTCATCAGACATCCATAACTTTTGGGATCTAACATCTAATACAATGCAAAAGAAATGTAAAAAAAAGATAAGGCACAAACTAATGCAATATTACTTGAACACAAAACTGTCCTTAAACCCGTTACAGAGCAAAAAGCTTCTGTAACGAGACAATACAAGATACAGCTATTCTACTGTATCTAACAATATTTGTTTTAATCTCCCACAAAATCTCTTACAGGGAGAAGTTATTTGCTTTTATATCTCCTTAAATTACAACTTTTTAAAGCATATACTTCTTAACTAGATAATATAGATCCACCTTGTTTTGGATAAATCTCAATCTCAAGAAATGGATAGTATAGCACAAGAATATCATGCAAAGCATAAGCAGAATTCTACAACAACAAAACTGTAAGAAAAGAGATTTCCAATTCTGTTACAGTACGAGTCCAAATCATCTCAGGCCACATACCAAGAGAGAATGTGATGTTTTTGCCTCAAAATTCATTGCAATAATATTTAGTTCCCAAGATCAGCATAGTGACAGAAAACCTTTCCCTATTGCATTATATCCTAGACACATTTAGATATACAGCAGCCACCTCCTATGGTTCACTTTGGTTGTGATCAAAGGAAAAACCTCGGAAGAAATGTGTAAATCAAACATCCATGCTTTTGCGGAAAGTGAGTTTCCGCAATCAAAAAGCTCTTTTGATTCCACATGAATGCTTACCTTCATAGACCAATGCTATCACATCCCATACAGATCATGGTAGAAGAAAAACATGGTGTTACAAATATAAATATGTAACATGCATGAAACTGCTCACATGAGAACCATTTCATGTATTTGTTCATATGAATATTGCATCATGAGATTAATTCTTGTATGTAAAGAAAGAACAAAGACTTTTTCTTTTATCCTACATTTACTTAATGGTATATGTATTACTATCAATAAAGCTAAATGCCAAGTTGTGCATCTCTTGTATCTGTGTGTTCTAGGTATGTTATCTGTTATCTATGTTACACAGAATACAATACAATTGTCTTACTGCCTTTTCATTGTAAACTTGAATCTCCTCCCCATTGGTAAATTTATTAGTTTTAAAACTAATTTCCACTATTTACAGATCACGAAAGAATAAATTGTGTAAGTGTACAAAGAACTTCATAATGTATTTTACCTGTGATGATACTGAATACCAAACTCCCAATTTAAGTCTTAATGCCTTTACACTAGTTGTATTTACTATGTCGTATTCTGTATGACACATACATACCCTCGTCCACACAGTTAAAATATATTAACACAATTAAATTGGTATATGCTGCAAGCTTTGTTACCAAAACAAAGGAAAAAGAAAATGCATACAGGACAATGTTATGCAACATCATTCTTGGCTAAAAGTCTCCACAACTTACCTTAACAGACCAAAGCTTGACTGTCCAGTCAATTGATGAAGTGAGGAAGAGATGAGAGAAGTCAATGGGTCCCAGGGTAGCGTGAGTGCTCACCCCAGTCACTGGGCCCTGGTGTCCCTCATAGGCATCCACTATACCAGCTTTACTTCCGTGACGGCAAGCTGTTTGGGAAAATCATATGATCACATTCCACGAGTAAAAAAAAAAAAAAAACATTTTATGGGATATATTAAACTATAAGACCCGTTACAATATTTTCTACAACAAAATCAACTTACCAGTGAATACAGCTCCTTCCTCAGAACCCACAATAAAGTTATTAACATCTCCGTGAGGGAAGGCTAAAGATGTGACTGCTACTGCACGTGACTGCTTGTGCTGGAGCTCCATTGACTCCTAATTTTAAAACAATCCCATTATTAAACAAGCCATTAAATGATATTGATATTAATTTTCATCAACTTCAACCTCAACTTTCAAATATCATATTCTCATCATGCAGTGAACAACAATTAGGTACAAGTAATTTTTTTTAACAAATGAACAAGAATCACAAACACAAAACGAGTCTCTGTCCCAACAAACCTGAGGCTGTGACAGCATATCCAAGGACCAGGAACACATCTTTCCATCAGTACTTGCACTGATAAGATTGTGGGCATTTTGCGTGCCAACCACCTTCATGCAGTACACAGGATGCTAGAGAAAAGGCATCACAATTAACAACCTAGCCTCCTAAAATACCACAGCCTTTTTATTTCTCTCTTCCTCTCTTGGAATATATTTTATTACACACAATGAATACAAATAACAACAGCTTTTTGAGCTTGTGAAAGGATATGTCACTCACGTGGGAAAATTATGATCTTGTATTACAGAAAGAAAAGCAATGACAGGAAGAAAAGACCTTCAAACTTACTGTGTGAGCTGAAGCAGACAGGGGACTGCGCTGGACTGGAGTTCTCTTTTGGCTACGGTTGTCCCAGAGAACAATTTGTCCGGAATATGTTCCACCAATTATCAAATTAGGATGAAACCTACGCGGGATGCAATAAGAACCGTTAATTTCTATATCATGGGTAAACACAGCGATAATTTCTCAAAACAGCCTGCTTATGCAAATTCAAGCAATCTGATTCCCATCCTTGGCAAGATATTAGATATTATAACTATATCAAGGTCAATTTTCAATCATATGAGCTGCTAATATGTAAAGACAAGAATGTGTGTATGTATAAGTTATGTAAAAATATGCATATAAGTCTATATCCACACTCAAACACCATGAAACACTTACCTTGCAAAAGTTGCAGACATTACTGGAGACTGACAATGGAAGATATACTCTGGCGTTTCTTTCTTAAATTTGGTATTCCACACAAGGGCAACACCATCAGGGTCATGAGGGGAGTCCTCATTGTTGTTGTAGCTGTCCAAAAACATTTGCTTCCATCAATTACAATAGTCACAAAAGGTTGGAAATCACCATCATCAATATATCAGATGTAAACGAGTACGGTTATACGTATATCATCTTAAAAGCTTGACTTCTAACCTGGCAACAAGAAGTTCTGGGTACTGAGGAGACCAGTCCATGCAAGTGATGCAGCGGTTACGTGACCATCGTTCATCATAGAACCAGCGATTCAGAGACAACTTGACACCTCCGTTCTCATTTCTGCATATGAAAGAATGAAAGGAAGAATAAAAAGAAAAAGAAAGAAAAAGTTAATTCTCCAAAGAAAAAGGGTTACATAAACCTGCGGACACATTTTTCAAATGTGACTGATCCTGCTTCTAATACACTTACTAATAACAAGACAAGCTGAAAGGGAAAAACAGGGGGATGGGATCGGGGGCAAAGGGCCCCCAAAGGCGACCCCTATACATACGCTTCGCCATCCTCTTCGTGGTCATGCGAGTAATCGGCAAAGATGTTGGTGTCCTCGGCAAGGGCTCGATAGGGTGCCTAAGCTCGCCATCCTCTTCGTGGTCATGCGAGTAATCGGCAAAGATGTTGGTGTCCTCGGCAAGGGCTCGCTCGATTATGCGAGTCGAGTGGTCAAAGAAGCTGTGGAACTCCTCTGTCATCATCAGCATCTGCTTCTCCTCGTCCGACAGCTCACGGGCTGTTTTATCCACAAAGACAAAACACCATGAGTAATAGTATCAATGATCTTTAAAAATGATAATGCTCAAGCTACTATGTAATATTAATATTTATAATAGGACAGCTTTGAAAAAATATGAATATTATAAAAAAAACAAAAAACAATGAACTGCACTTTGCCTTCTTAGTTTATTTAGCAATGTTGCAAATGCATCATCTTGCTCTAGCTCAATTTCTTCCTTGTGATCAATAGATGACTGGCAAGACAATAATACATCAAAATTTAAACTCTCTGAGCTATCTGCATTAACTGTCCTAGGACCAATAATGGCAGCTGATTTAACTAAGTACTGATACAGAAAAAAAAAAAAAAAAAAAAAAAAAAAAAAAAAAAAAATCCTGACCAGCACACAATAACCTTGAAACTTTGCCTCCTTTTGGGATTAAAAACAGATTAATCAATCAATCAATCAAAAAAAGGGAAGAATCCAATAACCCAAGCCCCTCAAACCCACACAAGAAAACCTCGCCGACCCCTTACGTGGCTTGGGTTTCTCCTCCTCGACCTTCTTCTCGGCTTCGGGGGCGAGGGCCGGCTTGACGTCCTGCACCTGCGGCATGCCCGTGGGGAGAATCCCGGGCGGGAGGTGGCGGTTGTGGCCTCCTCCGAACATCGGGGGGGTGTCTAGCATGGTCAGGGAGTTGTCCTCCTCCTCAGCTTGCGGATCATCGTAAGTAAGAACTACATGGTAAATAAGCCTGTTTCTGTTCTGTCTATCGGTCATTTATGTTTTTCTCTTTTTTTAATTTATTTTGTAATTTTTTTTTTTTTTTTTTTTTTTTTGTTCAAAATTATATTCACCACTATTATCTTCTCTTCTTTTCAATTTCTTTCTTTGGAATGATAAAATTTTTGATACATGTGAAAAGGTTACTGCCTCTTTATCTCAAAAGAAAAAAAAAAAAGAAAAAAAGAAAAAAGAAAAAGAAAAAGAAACTTGACTTCTAATGATGACTCTGCGTCTCTTATTCTTGCAAACAGGTTGAACATCTTTATCAAAATGACTTTTTCCAAGAAGTACAATCAAAAACAAAAACAAAAATAAACGAATCATATACAAAAGCTCATCAAGTTTCAAGAATATTAAAGTTTTTGATGGAATTTGTAAAAAAAAAAAAAAAATCTATGAAAAAAACATATATAAATAAATATTAAATTATTTAATCTTAAAATGGTGCATAGAGTGAAGGGTGTGCTCTGCCCTGTGGTAGCCATTGGAGATCTTTGTGACAAGCAATATTACTAGAGAAAAAAAAAAAAAAAGAAAAAAAAGTATACATTGTAACAAAAAAGAAAACCTCTTCATACTATCGGAAAAGAACGTAAAAATAAAAAAGAGGAATATACTGAAATGGAAGAGGAGACACAGTACACTTCAGTCTTCACTTACCGAGAGAAGGGAAAAGAAAATCAGGTTTGGACAAAAGACTTGGTCTCTAGACTGAAGTTCTCTAAACTAGACTGAATTACTTCTTGATAGAAAAAAAAGAAAAAAAAAAAAAAAAAAAAGTATATGCAATATACCCAGCATTCTAACATCAAATGCTTACAAAGCATGCCATGATGACAGTATCGGAACAGAAAAAGAGTCTGAATAGGAAAAAAATTAAAGAAAAAAAAAAGAAAAAGAAAAAAAAATACATATATAACAAAACATTGCTCCTATTGATGTCAAGAAAGCCAACTCTAAAATATGAATATGTATTCTATGAACTGCCATAGCATCTTTCAAAGCTAACTATAGCACCTATGAATGTAGCTTATTATAATTTCTAGTTTCATTATTCTGGACTCCAGATTCTGTATCATATTTCCATAATTATTTATGAAACTGTAATATATCCGGCTTGATACATATCCACACTGTTAGTGGCCAGTCAATACTAGATTCTATCATAAACAAATAAACAGTTAAATAAAAACAATTAAATTATAACTTATATATAAAAATTCTGGAGATATAAAACTGATGTCGAGAGCTGAGAATCACTCAATACATTGAGCAGACTCCAGTGCATAATTACATACAATCGACACAAATGTCTATAGTAATGAAGTACTGAATATAGCCTTTCAGCTGTACTATGTCACATTCTTCAATCACTTTGCAACCACATTCTAGGCTTGTGTTATACTTCTATTTCTTTTTTTTTATTCTTCTTTTTCTTCTTCCTTTTTCTTTAACAAAATCAGGAAATGTGAAAATAGTAAGGTCAGTCCTATTTAGCCACAAAAAAAAAGACGAGCGACAAATTCAAGAAAATCGCTAATGAATCTTTGTCCACCGGGTAACATTAAAGCAATCAAAAAAGCTTATCAGGTTACGAGATGCTTAACTTCATTGACCTCAAATAAAACACATTTCCTCATTCCTCTTCTGAACTATTTGTGAGAGACAGTCTGAACACAGATCATAGGAACAGTATACACCAAGTACACCTCCAAGAACGAGAGACATCTTATGCCTGATTCCTCATTAGCAAGAACCATCAGGTCACATTCAGGCATCACAAAATCTGATAAAGGGAAAGGGGGGAGTGGGACCTGCTTCTGAGATCATTTACAATTTTCAACAGTGGGTGATGAAAGGAGGGAAGAGAGGAAAGACTGGCATGCAACTAGCTAGAGATGAATAAGTACATTACGCTTTGCGTATAGAGATAAATATATGGGGAAAAAAAGAAAGAAAAGGACAGAGATACTACCTTACATTTCATATCTTAAAAAAAAAAAAAAGAGAGAAAATGGTCAGTTATCTAGTGAATACTGGGCACATTTAGAACTTAAGAGGGGAGGGGAGTTTCTAAACAAGAACAGTTACAATGTACGCTACAAAATTCAACAATTAAGCAAATTGATGTCGTTACAACGTTCCTTCCGGAGTTAGTTACTGAGCAGGTTATCACTAAACTCAGTAATAAATTGGTGACATTTGAATACATGCTCTTCATTTAGTCAGCAGAAAAAAGGAAATTATCCTGACTAACACGATTCAATTGTTAGAACACCTGATAAAAATTAAAAGAGTGTTTGGCTCTTTTTTTTCTGGTTAGCATATTAATACTCAATTAAAACGAATAATCTATCCCAAAGTACCTCCATAATTTCTTACAGAAAATAAAAGATAAAAGTATATACTTATATATAAATAAAAAAAATTAAATGCCTTTGTCCAAATAACACACATTAAAGTTCATATGTACTGAACTAATATATCCTCTAACCAATTGAACTAAAGCGCAGGCATTGGTCTGGTAACATCCATACATTACAACAGCCTATCAATTGGAGGTCAAGTCTAGGCCTTCAAGTTTGCAGTGTCAGTCATGTCACAATGAAAGTATAAAATAAGCAGGTTTTTGTCACATCACGGCATTAAGCATAAGGCATTTATAAATGCTGAATTGTACGTTTATATTTATATATACACATGTATGTGTACAGCATTGTATGTGCATGCACCCATGCATGCATGCATGATATATATATATATATATATATATATATATATATATATATATATATAT